TTTACCAACAATAACCGTAGCTGTTATTCTTAGTTTTAAGAAACATTCTTGCATCTATCATTTCATTCAGCAATTATAGACCATTGCTTCTATGGCCGCTAACATTACTAATAGTCCCAAGGCAGCCCCTCCAAAACTAGCCACTTCGTCACTTTCTTTTAAGCCCTGAAAAGTAGTGATATCATACTAGTGTGACAGAAACCATATTTGCGTACCCAATCAATCATCAGTAAAATCTATGGCAACAAGAAGGTACAATTAACAGAACAAATGTAAGGAATCGGAGCTTACTCCAAGTGACATCACCAACAAGCATCCAGTCCCCATCTTTATCCTCATAAGTAAGGACGTACTCAGGTCCATGCAGTAAATCCTTCAGCTTGCGCTCACTCAGCATATCCCTACCTGGAGGTCCATGAGACCCATACTGACCTGATATCATACCAAAAGAGCAGTAACAGTACCCATGCAAAAGACAAGGATGATATCCATTACTCAATACTTGCGTCTATTTGTTACGATTGCTGTACCATTTGAAACTGTAAAATAGGTCAACTATGGTAAAGCAGCTAAACATCTTCTCAAGGGCAGAAGAGAGCTCCTGATATGAAGAGTATGATCTCAGGTCCACTTTCCTTAGATAAGGAGCACCGTCCATGCTGACCTTAATAAACATTGCACCGGGTCCCGCTTTTCCATCAACTTCCTAAGCATTCTTTGAAGTAGAAGCCAATGTGTTCTTCCTAAACGATCTAGCAGGCGGCCAACCCACAACCTGTGCCCTGTCATGAATGAAAGATCAGAGAGCATCCTCAACATTTACTACTAATGTTCTCAACATACCCTCTTCTTAAATCATCTGCACATACTTTGTAGCAGGTGCACTGCTGTTGTTATTTGCAGTGCCAACACGATCTGCAACGATCTCACTACCAGTGCGAGGCTTCTCTTCAGCTGTGTTCTTGGAAATCACTTCTTTTGTTTTGGGTGGTTGGGTTCCAGTGTTTTCTTTCACAGAATCTGATTTCAAAACTGAGTTCAGGGAAGGCCTGGGTGAGAGTATCACATTTACCTCCAAACTGACAAGAAATGTTCCTGGAAGAAATTAAGCAGTTCCAGAGTCAGATCAACTACAAGAAATTATCCAATTTCATCAGTAAGTGCTTTGTTTTCACCTCTGCAAAACCCTCCATAACATCTGAGAAACCCCTTTTGTTGCCAGGACCAACCGTCTTATGTGATAACAAATAATTACCATACTTCAAAGGATGCAAAGGAAAAACTGGCTTCTCATCGAGATTTGGCGAGCACAGCAAGGAAAACTCTGAATCCCCCTCTGAAGACTGGGATCCAGGAAGCCCAAGCCTCAGTTCTGTGGCCTTCAAATTCAGACAGCCATTATTGTCTCCCGATGTGGTGGATATTGTAGAGCTACCTACGGAAGAACAATCAGACAACCCCATGTAGTTATGCTCTTTCAGTCCCGAGATGTTTTGACATATATTATGGTCCAAGGAGGCCGGAGAAGCCAACAAAGTGATGTTACTCTGATTCGCTTCCTCCCCAGCACCAAGCAGTGGCGGAGACATCACAATTTCGGACAAAACTCCAACTCCTTTTTCCTTTCTATATGCCCAAACCTGCTTAATTAAGGACAATTGACACAATTCTATCCTTTTAATCTGAAAATTCAAACAGAAGACCAACAAGATGAAAATAACAACATAAGAACCAAACTCTAAAAAGAGAAAGCCAACAAATTTGATAAACCGGCCAGTCTAAAACAGACCATCCCATAAAAACTATCTGAATTACAATCTCAAGATTCTCCTATACAGTAATCAACATATCTAAACCTAATTATCTTCTAAAAGCCACCAATCCAAAATACAAACAGTACACAAACCCAAATTCATGACAATTGTAAAAGTAGCCTATACAGTAACAAGCATTTAAAGTAGTTGAAATCTTCTAATCTAAAGACAATACCATTAAGGGATAAAGCCAAGAGTGAGTAAAAATTGACCCTTTCAAGTATTAAGGAACAATAAATTGCCAAAGATATAACCAACTTAAAAAAAAAAAAATCCAATTCACTGCAAGGAGCTCAAAATCAAAAAACCAATTCTCAATGAATATCTATCCCACAGTTTGTGCACGCAATCACAGACATATAGGTAGGTACTAACCCATAAACATATTTCTCAAATAGTCATAAATCTCAGGTAATTTATCAAGTAGAAGAGTTCATAGTCTAAAAGACCAAACATTTTCCAACCAAATCAAAACTCTTAAAGGAGATTTAGAACTCCAAAACATACTCAATATCTGAAGTAATTACAAGGAATAACTAACCTAAAGCACAGCGTGAAAAATAGAAGGCCTGAACACAGAAGAAATGTAGAAAGTGAGGCTCAAAGAAAGAGATTTACACTTACCTGAAGTAGCTGCTGGATCAGCTTTAGTGATAAAGTAAGAAAGACCAGGAAGATGATGACGACGACGACGTAGTGTTTGATTTGCAGTGAAGAATTCACAGAGAGAGAGAAGGCTAAGAACCTTCCATTTGGCAGAAAGTTACAAAAGCTTATTTGCTCTCCGTCGTGAAACTCAACGCCAGCAAAATAACCGCTTCTGCCTTCAACAAATGCTTTGCAAGAGAAAGGAAATGAGGGAAAAAGCAAAAAGGATAGAAATTCTTTTTCCCCTAGAAAAGGAAAAACAAAAAAAAAAGTGAGAAAAACTTTTTTTTTTCAATCTTTTATTAGTTACTAAAAATATGTACATAGTATTTAGCTTGTCAAATTTCAATCGAATTTGTGGCTTGTTGTGTCGAATACTATAACCACATAGAGAGAATGTTGAGAAGAGAATCGAATCTTCAATCTACTGGTCAACAGTAAGGGATATTCAACTATTAAGTTAAGTTTAAAGTTCGGTGTCGTATCTATTTGAATTCACATCATTGTTCATCATACAAAATAGAATTTTCATAACATATAATTTTTAAATAGGAGTATGTATGGTAGTATGTGAAGCTCCTATTATTGTCAATTTGGATGATCATCATATATATCATCTTATTCTTATATGTGAAGAGTTATTTTCATGACTTATTATTGATATTGGCATTTATTAAAAAAAAAATCGAAAGTAATGAGATTATTTTCTAATAACTCCACAATATAAAGAAAAAAAGGGAGTTGGCCATTGATCCCATTTTGCTAAGTTAGACTATTTAAGGAAAAAAGGCAGCTCACAATTTCCTTTATGAACAAACCAAACTCACATGTTAATATATAACCACTATGTAACCTCTTTATCAATACTCTAATGAAAATAGAGGGCAGGCAAGTTGCTGAGGTACCACAAGTTGCCTCTAATCTTATTGAAATGTATTTGGTTTTATATACTACTAGTCGGTGCACACGGACGCTGCACGTGAACCATTTTTAATACAAAATATCTTAAATTAAAGTTGTAGAATATCTTCTCTAAAAGCAAGCCACTACTTTAATGAGTATAGATGAGAACCACATTTTATAAAAAAACACCACAGAAAAAACACCAGCTAGACTAAATCTAATAGAATGTTTAGTACAAGGAAGCAAAACTAATAACAATCTAAATGCGAAGATCAATTTACGAACATTAAACCCATATATTTGTAAAGTATGAGCCAAGTACAAGAATTTGTAGTATAATGTGTGTATGACTTAAAGTTTAGCAATTAGAGCATACGAATATATTCATTTGTCTTATACAAAGTACCAAAAAAATAAATTATAAACCCAAAACTATAGAAAAAAAATACAAAATAGCTTTGACAAAGTAGGAAGCGAATTTATAAAAGCACAGAAAAAGAATGTAATACAAATGCAAAAATAAGGATCGACTCAACGGGTAAAAACAATGATATTTTTATAAACGACGAAGGCTCGATTATGACCTAATTGAAAAGCAATAAAAGTGATACAACTTTCTCATTGTGACCTTGAACTTTTTAATTGTGTCAATTAAGCCCTTTTGTCTTTTTGTGCTGCATAGTCACGTGAGTGACATATTATAACGGAAATAAACAAAAAGGCTCAATTGACACAATTAGAGATTTTATGGACATCTTGATACAAAGATTATAGTTTGAGGACTATGTATGTGATTTACTCTAAAATCAATAAACAAAATAAAATCAAGGTCTTATTTAAAACAGTAAAATGTAATTTGCTATTTTCGGGACACAAGCTACCTATGAAGGCCTACTGAAAGGATACTCAGTATTACCCAATGAATAACAAGAAAAGTACATGTTGTGCCATTTAATTTTTCATGGAAAGGGCAAGTGTCCATTACAAGATGCACACCTAACATTTTTTCATGATGATGCATGTCATTGTCAGTTTAAGTTTTTTTTTTTTTTACGAAAATAATTGATTGGATTGAACTAATACCTATTGAAAGTTGGAGGACAAAATTCCAAAAAAATATAAATTTAAGGACCAAAGTTGGAACCATTGTAAACTATTGAGTGTGAAAAGTTAATCAATCCTAGAATTTATGTGATCATTCATGTTTATGAATGAGGATATACTGGGCTGGGTGAAGGGAACCCTATCTTGTAATACTTTAAAAGTTAAAATTAGTGAAACCTAAACTATGAAGAGCAAAGTCACTTGCACAAGTTAATGTGTCATTATTTTTTGTAGTACAAGGTAACATTAGTATCAAAGCAATCAAGATGCATGGTAACAAGCATAATCCAGTCCATTTGCCTGATATCACAGATAAACTGAAACATAACTGGATAGTTCATATTCTGTATCCATGGCCTCTTTTCCTTAAAATCTATTTAGCTTGCTTAAATGAAAAATTGGAACATATACAAGAAAATAAAGGAAAACGAAACAAGAAAACGAATTTCAAAAAAAGTGTCTAATTTATGGGTGCGATATCCAGAAACAAAATTGGTTGTCAACACGAAACAATTTCCTCCATTTTTAATATCATTGTTTCACAGGACGATATATATTGAACAGTTAGGCAGGATTGTTCTCCAAATGTGAGGCAAGAGACACTACTGCGAGTACTTTTCAAATCATTGCCCAATGTTTTAGACTCGAATGCATTTAGTTAGATGATTTCTCTTTAATGTCTGAAATTTGTAAATTTTGTTTCCTAGTCGCACTCACCCCCAACAACACAGCTAACCGAAAAAACATACGAACAACAACAAATCTAAAATAAGTCAAGCATATAACCAAAAAAAAAAGGAAAAAGAAAAACATATAGCTTTCACACAAATTGGCCAATAGTTAGAACAGATACACACAAAATATGATTCGATGATTCATAGATCAGACCACCTGATGCATGGGGAAGCAAAAACATCAAGAGAATAACAAATAAATCATCTGAGATAGAGAGGACCAGAGGATGCACTTACCGCCGCTACGGTGACGACCCATGATTTCAATTTAGAGATGCAGAACGAGAACCCTCTTCGGATAATTTGGGGTAGTTTGGTAAGATTTTTGGTTTTTTTGTCTTCCAAAAAATTAAATAATATTCGGTACAAAATGAACTTTAAATTGTAAATTAACTTATAATTTTATCAAAAATTTACATTTAATTTTGTACAATCTGTATTCAACTTTTTCAAATTAATATTAAATTAATTTTTATTGTTATCAAATTAATATTTAAATTTATTTAATCGATTTTTTGGAATACTAAATTATATCAATTTTTGGGTACTAAATTAAATTTTATTTGATTTTATTAAATTTTTAACTTTTTTGGTACTAAATTTGCAAAAGGGAAATTGTAAAAAACTATAAAATTTATTTAATCAAATAGCACATTGAGTATAAATATCAAATAATATTGAGCGCGAAATGAAATTTAAATTATAAATTAATATATAATTTTATCAAAAATTTACATTTAATTTTGTACAATTTATATTCAACATTTTCGAATTAATATTAAATTATTTTTTATTGTTATCAAATTAATATTCTAATTTATTTAACCAATTTTTTGGAGTACTAAATTATATCAATTGTTTTGGTACTAAATTAAAATTTATTTGATTTTATTAAATTTTTAATTTTTTTTTGGAACTAAATTTGCAAAAAGGAAATTGTAAAAAATAATAAAATTTTTTAGGATGAAATTATTAATTTTATTTAGCAAGATTGAGGGAAGAGAGACAAAGGAGGTCTTTATGCAATGAATTTCAAATCTCTGGGGATCACCGTATTATTATAAATTGTCAGGAGGTGTTCGTGTAATATTGACAAAACTCAAGAGATGTACGTGATTTTTTTTCCTTTTTTTTTAATTAAATATTAATTTATTATTATTTTATTTTAAATACTTGAATTATTATATATCTAATAAAAACAGTTTTTAGTTATGAGGGTTTGTTAGTAACCACAAAGAATTGTGTGTGGGTGTGTTTCTATGTATATTTATATGTGGAGGATTAGATATTTGATAATTAAATTGTGTCATTTGGGGTTGAATGGTGATAGTGTTGATAAATTCACGAGTTTTATAAATGAGCAATATTTGGTTTATTTTATTTATCTCTTAAAAATTGTGAATTTAATTGTAATTTGTTATTATTTTCTTTTTTTAGCTTGAGGTATTTATTACATAGCGATAAGATAGATTGAAAATATGTTGATTGAGTTTATAATTATATTGTGTTATTGGATTGAGTGTTAGTAGGTGATAAATTCGTAAGTCTTATAAATAAGTAAGATTTTATTCATTTTAGGAAAAATTTCACTCACACTTTCTCTATGAATAGGTCTAATTTCAGTGAAACCCTTTCTCGATTATGAAATTTCACTGACAACAGTCTTGGTCGAGTAATGACGACAATGATTCTTTTATCACTTTACCCTTAATTTTATATTGCTTATATGTATATGTTAAGTTTGTTTATATATATATATATATATATATATACACACACACGCAGAACCCATCGCCCCTCCATAGCATCATCTGACACCTCCTCACATCTCCCCTCCTCTCTCTCCAACAAAACCCTTCCTTTCATGTTGAGATAGAATCACAAAATGCAAATTGAATTGAAGGTTTTATGATGGGTGTTGATGCAAGGGTTGTGGTGGTGGTGGGCATGTGAAATCTGGTAGTTGATGGGGCATCCTCTTTCTCTCTCTCTCCCGCAAACCCCTTCATTCCATGTTGAGATAGGAGCAAAAAGGGCAAATTGAATTGAGGGTTTTATGATGGGTGTTGATGCAAGGATTGTGGTGGTGGTGGGCATGTGAAATTTGGTAGCCGATGGAACGTGTGCATGCACGTTGTAGGAATGGTTGTTGTCAAGTGAGTTTGGGACAGATTGGGCATGGGTGTGGGGCTAAGTGGAAGTTGAATTCTCTCTCTCTCTAGCAAACCCTTCTAGTTATGTTGAGATAGGAGCAAAAAAAGATCAAATTGATTTAGGGGTTTTGTAATGGGTGTTGATGTAGAAGGGTTGTGGTGGTGGAGGATTGGTGGTGGTGGGCATGTGAAAATTGGTGGTCAACGGTGCGCGTGTGTGCACGTTGTGGGAGTGGTTGATGTCAGGTGGGTTTTGGACATAGGTTGTGGGACTGAGTGGAGGCTGCACACACACACACACTCTCTCTCTCGGCAGCATATAAGTGGGTGGGAATGATGGGTGAAAACAATTGGTTGATCTGTCCTGAATTTGCTTACTAGCTTGTTTGATGAATTTGTTGGACTGAGTGCTTGCTACTGCATGTTGTGCTTGCTACTGTAGTTGGTCTGTGGTGGTGCTGAAATGGTGGTGGTTTTGTGGAGACATGGTGCAGTGAAATTTCAGAATCGGGAAGGGGTGTCACTCAAATTAGACCTATCTATAGGGGGTATAGATGAAATTTTTCCTTTATTTTATTTATTGTTTAAAAATTATAAATTTCAATGAATTATGCTAGTATTTTTTTTTCAGAGGTATTTTTATATATGGTATTGTATTAACTTATTCATGAGTGATTTATATACTTGATTGTGTGGAAATTTTTTCAATAGAGTGGCAGCAACTCTCTTCTTAGTGCAGCCATTTGGGGGGGGGGGGGGGGGGGGGTCATTAACTTGTGCTTTGGTAGAATGGAGGAAGTGGCGAGTCCAGGCAAAAGACCAATCGGCTGTAAACTAAGTGCCTGCTACAAGCAACTTGGCAGTCCTTTATATCTTAATCATGTTTTGATCGATATTAAAAAATTATTTTTCGATATCTAATTTAACAGAATGATGGAAGTGGAGATTCAAGGCAAATACCAATTAGTTGTAAGCAAAATGCCAGCCACAATCAAAATCACACCTTTTTTCTTTATGTAGACGGATAAACCTAGCTATTAGTGTGCATTAGCCTGGGTAGAAAAAAGGAAAAGGTTTAAAGGGAAAAGAAAGGGTTTTCATAAACCGTATGAAAACCATTACCTTAAGACTGTGACAATAATGCCCGAAGATGAAAAATCAAGGCTTTTTTACTCCTTGTCGTGCTAATCCTTGATTTGTGAGATTCAATGGGTGGCTACAATTGTTCTTGTAGAACTGCACAAGGGGTTGGGGCCTCCTGGGTGGGGGGGGGGGGGGGAGGGGGATAATGTGAGTGTCCATCAATATCCACAAAGCTAACTAACGTCTTCTTTATTACTGGTTAGGGCACAAATCATAGGCAGAGATATTGAGCCACGAGCGAGGGTGGTAAAATTGAAGGGAGAAATTAGCAAAATTAAGTTAGGACGACAGTATAACCAGAGTGGGAAAGAGAACAATTTGAGCAACTGACCTTGAGATATTCACCAGCTGTTTTTTGAATGTCTACCATGAAAAATGTGGGAGCAACCTCAAATATCTGTTTAGAAAATGGATTCTTAACTAAAATAAAAAAAAGTGGTTGGCAATAATCATGGAGGATCAGGGCTGAGAACATAACATACTTCCAGAATTATTGAGAAATGAGACATCTTATTCACCAAAAGACCTTCCACCCTCATCTGAAAGGAAGTTCAATTTGAATGAGTTGAGAAAAAGTAGAGGACTTTTGGAATATTGGACCAACTACTTTTCATAATTAAACTGTTGAAAGTTCAACCTTATAATTACGGATGTGTGTCTTGAAACCCATTGATTGTACAACTACTTTCAATACTCGATAAAACCACCTTTGCCGGTTTCTGTGAAACAAAGAGTGTTTGATGTTTCACAAAAACAGGCACATGTTAATGAGATTACAAATATATTCCCATTTAACTATCAACTGAGGGTAAAAACTCCTGTCAATGTTGGAATTCTAAAACAAGGTATATGATTGAAGTGAAAGCTGAAATTGCAATGTCCATAAGATCTAAAAATATTTATTACTTGAACTATCAAGACACACAACTAGTTAAATTTTTTATGAAGAGATGAGATTTGAGGGACTGAAGCTGTTGTGATAAATTAAGAAAATATATCTGGCCAAGGTCAAATATCCATGAAACAAATATCAACAAAATTCGACATGACTTTAAAAACACGAGAGTTTGTTAAGTATTATGTACTATCATAAAAGAATGAGTTACTTTTACTTAACTTTAGAAACAAATACTTATAAGCAAACCAACTAGTTAAATGTTAGTTCTAATTCTTTTCGTTGGTCACGTTCATTTTATGGATATATTATAATAAGACAATATTACACCTTTTTTAATGTAAAAATTATTAATTTTGTTTACTATTAATAAAGAATTACAAAAAATTACAATTTTTAAGTTGTTAAATAATAATAAAATATAAAATATATTTTATTATAAACATATCCTGACTATGCCTAAATTCTTTTTTTTTAGATTTTGTCATATAATCGTATCTTATCGTACCCTATTTGTGTTTCCCAGGTGGTAACAAAGTATTTCATATCAAAGTAACCATTCAAAGCCTTACGAACCTTAGGGTCATCAAAAGCAGCGTTGACATCATCCAGTTTAGCATCTTCATGTTCAAGAAATCTGACAGGAACATAACTCCTTTTAAACCACTCATCATCCCTAATCTCCTCAATCCGAATACGCTGCACAAACACACATGATAGAGAGAGTGATAGTAAGTGCACTTAGAAGCAAAGTTCAATTGTGATAATCAATCAAGCTTATGCTTGATCATGGTTTAGATTACCCATGCCAACAAAAAGCTCAGATGTATTGGCACACATCTTCCAGATAAGATAAAACATAAATTCATAAGGAAGATGTTGGTGAATGAATCAATAGTCATAGTAACTAATAAGCTGCACACTCACATTAACCAACAAGAACAATAAAAAGAAAAAGATAAGACTCACAACTCCAACAACGAGATCCAAAGTGCAAAGGGGAACACATCCCTCTAGGTGGCATAATATACTGATGTGGAAGTTTGGTACTAAAGCGTCAAATGATAG